TGGCGCCACTCTCTCTCTCTCTCTCTGTCTCTCTCTCTCTCTCTCTCTCTCTCTCTATGTATATGTATATCCATCATAAAATCATTAAATGAAACACTACATGTTATCTCCAATTTAGTGCCTCGGTAAAATATTGGCGAACAAGTCTCTCTTCAAGAAATCTTCACACGCATCAATATCAAGTACATGGATTAGCCAACAAAACTCCGCCCGACAGGAACCGAAATCCTCGGGCAAAATGTTGACTCCAAACCCTGTAGGAGAACATGAGATGGCCAGTAGAAACCACTATGTTTATTGTCATTGTAGTAATGATTATATATATATATATATATATATATATATATATATATATATATATCTATATATATATATATATATATATATCTATATATATATAATGATTGCATTCAATGACCATGGGTAAATAAATACATAGAAGATTTTCCTCGTCAGAATGATCACATTGGATTGGGCTTAACATTCAAAAGAGTCAAAAGAAGTATATTTTTCTCTAATTTGGAAATGTAATTTTTCGAAAAGAAAAGAAAGGGTTGATCATAGGATAAGAAGTCCATCTACGGCCTACATTTAAGACCTTGATAATTACATTACGAAGACTCCCACTGGATGCATGAACCCATAAAGCTAGATGCAATGAATCGTGTGTACGAGGTCTGTGAAACGTTCTCGATTGGCCATTGCAGTGCCCAGTGATTGGTGCAATATTCTTGCATAAAGACATGTTATATTAGCATCAAAACTCTCAGCCACTCAAAGACTATGAGAATACAGAGAATGTAGCCATTTATTGAACCAACGCAAGTATAGAGACCCCAAGTTCAAAGTCAACATTCTTGCTCCACAGTAGCTGTATATAGGGCCCTTTCAAATCACTGTGCTCACATTAAAACCCATGCTAGATTTCACACATCCACTTGGTGTCTGACCACTACATCCCAGATTGTCCATCACAACCCCATGTCTTTGCAAGTAGGTGTGTGTCCAGAGACAATTAATGGTCTCAAACTTGATGTTGGATTGCTCACCACCAACCCATCCCTGATTCCTTCTACATAGAGAAACAGTAGCCGGAAGAAGCAAGTATATGCATGGAGGCCATGAGTCTCCCTCAGAAATTTGACCTTGTCCCCCGAAGTTTGTCACCTTTGTTTCGCATGCAATAGTGCATGGATAAAAAAATATCTCCTTGTATTTGCATCATCAGCTGAACCTGTGCAGTGTTCATGGCTCTCTTTCAACTTGGGGTCACCATCACCTTGTCTCTTGAACCCAGGGTTACTGTTCGTGGACTGTTTTGGATCTTTCAGCTAAATCTCATATCGCATACGTGACTTCTACCCTTGCTAGCTATCTAACGAGAAGGTATCAGCCATGGTGATCCGAGTAGCACTCAATTGTCGACCTCTTCAAGCAAAGAGAACATGTTCCACTTGGCAGCTACACTCTTCAGCGCGTGCATGAGAGCTGCATCATTAGTTGACAGGTTCACATTTAAGCCTCATGGTCGAGACATGAATTTAATGAAGGCGAGTGAGTTCCGAAATGATTCATTCAGTCTCCCTTTTCGTGTGGTCAAATGAATCTCTCCTTCTATTAGGCTGAATTGGAGTTATTTGGCCGGCAATTTCCTCAGGGGAAAGATCTTCACGCATCGAAAGAAAGATGCCATCTTGACGCTTTGGAGTTGTCTCGCCGGTGCAAGTGCGAGCGGGTACAAAATTTTCAACGGAGTTGCTGATGAAGGTAAACAAGTGGTGTTGTATGTCGATGCAGATAGATAGATGGAGCTTTCATGGAGGTAGAGAGGTTGAAGTGCTTGCTCTGCACTCGGCAACTACGCGAGTTTTCTTCTTGGCAAAGCAAACGCTATAAGCATCTACTTGGATTCTGTTCTAGAGAATTTCCTTGAAGCTAACCACTGCTGTCTCCTAACTCTAGAAAGCAACACACACACACACACACACACACAAAAAGGGGTCTTTCCTTCATTTAATACTGTTTTTTAATGCAAAACTTATATTATCCAATAAAATGGTATTTAATTTTTATATGTTCTCTGTGGATCCGTCTATTTCTACTTTGAACCGACTGTAAGAGCTGCCAGTATCTGACACTGAACACATATACCTACAGCATAAACAAACCAAGAAGAAGGCAAAAGCTATTGTGCACACACATACATCCATCTCAGCCTCGTGCAATTTGCTTGCCGAGTTCAGAAGGAAGGAAAATATCAGCTTTTCAAGACACTTTAGAGCAGCAGCAGAACCTGACAACATTTACAACGACAACCACAACAAAGCCTTGCTTTTTAAGTAAGCCTTCATCCACTCCCAACTTTTTGTTCATTTTGAGCACTGATGAGAAACAGTGAAAGGAAGTCATGAATGGTGCGGTGCTTAGGAGCGTTTCCTTTATGCATTGATGCTAGAAAATGATTCCTGCACTCACCAGTAGGACAAGTCCGTTTTCCTTTTGCACTTTCCAGTGGGGAACTCTTCCCGTTGTTGACAAGCTTTAAGGAATCCTAAGCTTAAATCAGTCAGTCAGTCAGTCCTTTCTTTTTTATTTTGATAGGAAAGCAATCGAACAATCTTATCCGACGTCTCGAGTTTATCATATTTATACATAAAAAATCCCCAGATTGTAGCAACATCAGTTTAAACATGAGTAAGATTTGATGCACGCAAAATGCAATACAACAATCCATTTTCCTTGAGCTGATGAAGCCATCTCTTGCTTCTTACGAACATTGATTATTTTACACAATTTACAATTTGATTGCATGAGACTAGTATATATATATATATATATATATATATATAGAGAGAGAGAGAGAGAGAGAGAGAGAGAGAGAGAGAGAGAGT